AACTCACAGGTAGGATCAATACCTGAACTGGAGTCTGAGTTCTGAACTGGGTTGGATTTTGGATTTTCATTAAGGCTTGAATTAAATTTAGATATGGATTGGCTTGGGATCAGGATTGATCTGGAATCTGGATGGATCTAGGGTCAGGATTGGCCCGAGTGACCTCATACAAAAATGAGGTCAACAATCACATTTTCCTCCTCTGTCTCTCTCTCAAAACATAACAATTTTGACACATAAAACGGGCTCCAAAATCCCTGAAATTTTTAAAGTAGCTGTTATAATCGTACAGTACGATTTATCATCGTACAGTACGACATGTATAAACATGCTTCATCCTGGTACGAAGTTGTACAAACAGTTAAAAATCTAATCATATGGTACGATAATAAATCGTACAGTACGATCCTCAACACTACTGCTCGTACAGGACGATAGCCGGGACGATCAAATGTTGTCTGTGTTCATTGTATGGTACGATACACATCGTTTAGTACGAATGGTGAAAATCAAGGCATCGTCCAGGACAAATTCTGGGACGATCAAATGTCGTCTCTGTTCATCGTATGGTACAATAGATATTGTACAGTACGATGAGACAAAAACAAGGGATCGTCTAGGACGATCTCCGGGACGATCTGAATTCGTCTCTGTTCATCGTATTGTACGAATGTGTTCGTACAGTATGATTTTTAATTTGTAATTAAGCCTTGATTTCTTGCACTAATCACGAATTAAATTAAGTAAGTATTTAAAATAGGGCGTACAGTACGAAGGTCTTCGTACACTATGAATGGCGCAGAATAACTTACTTAAGTTAATGTGAGGGCTAAGATTTTGGATTTGAAACACATCGTACCATACGATAGTATTCATACCGTATAATTTGTTCACAGAACACGTTTATAATATAATATCATACAGTACGACATAACTTCGTACAATACGATTAACAAATAATGAAAAACTATATTTTTTACTTTTAAAAACCCTCTCCCCCTGTGTGTGTGCATGATTGCTCAGACTCACCTGCATTATGTGGCCAAACTCAAGAAATAAAAAATAAAATAAATAATAAATTACATTGTCAGACACAAACTCCTAATCTAACTAGTCTTGAGTCTTCCCGTTGTCCTGAGTGGCTTGTGATCTTCCTGAAATGTTAGTACTCATGGACAATAGCAAACAATAAATGATATTCAATGAAGAGTAGTTCAGGTGAAATTATTTGTCATCATCAAAATATCAAACTCGCGGTCATGGGTTGCAACAATCTCCCCCTTTTTGATGATGTCAAATAATGTTTGTTGTAAGCAAGTTTGAACGACATTTTTTTGTTTTTCTTAAATTAAACATAAGAATAAGAAAAAATACTAAAAAGAAAAATGCCATACACATTCTTAATCCCAAGAAGATCCTTCCCTTTGAAGTGTATGTGTTGTACTTTTCTTTCTTAGTGTTTGCTCGTCTTTTTGATATTGTCAAAAGGGGAAGAAGGTTGTTGTAATTTTCCTTATATTGTAGTTTGTTTGCTCTTATGTTAAATATAATACATTTCCTTTTATTTCGTACTAACATTTTTCTTTTTAATGTTATTTCTTGTTCTTATGTTTAATTAAAAAAAAATGTTAGTACTCACGGACAATAGCAAACAATAAATGATATTCAATAAAGAGTAGTTTAGGCGACATTATTTGTCATCATCAAAATTTTAAACTCGGGGTCATGGGTCGCGACATATTATTCCATCAAATAGTTGATATTTATTGATAATATAATATTCTATTGCGAGTAACATCTACTTAAATAAACTCTCCAAGGCATTACTAATCTTTTTTTACTCATATCAATGATTAATCATACACCAACAACTATGGTTAAAATAATTATAGTAGTTTGTCTTATTTTAAGGCATATTCTAAAGCATTTTTAAATTATTATTTTATAATGTTAGTAGTACAACATTGCCAACCTTCCATTATATATTTATGACAAGAAATAATCAACCGATGCTTCTAGAACCGAGTGCATCACAAAGTTTTAATACCCAACCTTACAACCAACCTCATGTAAATTAACTTTGGAAAAATATTCTATTTCATATCATAACGATATTAATTTTATTAGATAAATTCCTAATTTCATACATCATTTTTAAAATAAGAAAAGAAATTAAATAATTCAATAAATATAAAAAGAATATAACTAAATAATTAAATAGGAAATTTTTTTATAAAAAAGTTAGTGTTAGAGTATTCTTAAACAAATTTTTTCTATTAAATATAAATAAAATCTCTATAAGAAATTTTCATTAATGTCTGCAAGATCATGAAATTAACCATCATAAAAAAATATGTAAGTAGAACTGGTAATAAATTAACATCTGATTTTATAAATATTTATAGTAAAATAAATCATAATTTAGTTAAAAATGTATAAGAATATTGATATTTTTTCTCTAAAAAAATTTAAGTGAGTATGAGAGTTTTTTTTTAAGGATTTACATACAAACCATCAAATATTTATATATTTATATATCTAATCTTTAAAATTTTATATTTATTTGTAATTTTAATATTTTAATTGTAAAAATTATACCTTTAAGAAATATTTTTATTTAAAAATTAATGTTTATGATATTATTTATATAATTTTAAAATTATATTAAAATTTTAAATATTAAAATATAAATACATAAAAAATTTTATGATAAAGTTGTAATAATTTTTTTCATGCTTGTGCAAAAACAATAAAGTGGCGGGGGGACAAAAGATAATTGTCCTCTGCCGACACTCTAACTCCGTGTCTGTGCTTTAATCTGCGAGCCGCTCGTTTTATAAATAACCACCACTTTCTCTCTCTACAGTGGCGCCGTTACAAAAGCTCAGGCTGTGATCTCCTTACTCCAGTAAGTGGCAGCAAGCGAGCGTTAGAGAGAGAATTGATGGAGAGAAGTTCGATTTTCAGCTGAAGACCTCTACGTTCTTCTCGGAGTGAAGGTAATTCCAAGGATCTGAAGTCAGGCCATTGGAATTTGAAGGTCTTCAAGCGAGTACACTCTAGGTATATCTTCATCTGCTTGTCTCCTTCAATTTCATAGAAAATAAATGGATAAATCGTGTTCTTAAGCCGTTTTTTTTAAGCAAGAAGTTGAAAAGCTGAAAATTTTTCAATTTCATTGCGTCCATTTAGAATTTCCAGTTTTCCATCATCTTTTTCATACCTTTTCCCCAAATCATAGCTTTAAAAATCCTTAAAAAAAAAACCTTTCCTTGGTTTTTGATTTTGACCATTGCACTTTTTGTTTTGAAAAGAAAATTAGAAGGAAGAAAATTGCTACCCTTGATCGACTTTCCTGTAAATCCTAGGGTTTACTGTTTTAGTGTGCTGGAAGTGACTGATGAAGCGGAGCTATTGTTAAGCTTCTAATGCATGAAGTAGTGCGTTACCACTTGTTGTTATAAATTGATTTTTATAAATTAATTCAGATTTCTTTGCTTTTTCCTACGTATTTATGGTTTGAACAAGCAATTGGTCCATTTCCAACTTTTGTTATTGTTATTCATTGCATGACATTGGCAGGTTGAGAAAATGCATGTCAAATCTGATTCAGATGTCACAAGCTTGGCCCCCTCATCCCCTTCCTGGTCACCAAAGAGGCCAGTCTACTATGTTCAGAGTCCATCAAGGGATTCCCATGATGGAGATAAGTCTACATCTATGCAGGCTACACCTGTTTACAATAGCCCTATGGAATCTCCTTCACACCCTTCCATCGGCCGGCAGTCGAGGACCTCCTCTTCCAGTCGATTTTCTGGGATCTTTCGCTCTTCTTCTGGGCGGAAGGTGAGAGAGAAGAGGATGAATGAGAAGGGATGGCCTGAGTGCACTGTAATTCAGGAAGAGGGTCCTTATGATGATCTTAATGAGGATAATGGCCTCTCTCGTCGTTGCCAGCTTGCACTCGCATTCCTTGCATTTGTTTTGATGTTTACTACATTTTGCTTTATTATCTGGGGAGCCAGCCGACCGTACAAAGCAGATGTGGTGGTGAAGGTGACCATCAATTATAATATTTGTTCTTTGCCTCTTGAACTTGTCTGGTTGAATCATTTGCCAAGGAATTTATTCCATCATTTTGCAATCTATCATGAATAAGCTGAAAAGTCTTTTTAGTTTTTAATTCATTTGAAGTTTTTGGCATTTTAAATGTTAGTTGTAGGAGGGATTAAATAGAGGCATAGAAGATATTGAGAGGAATTACATTCACTGTTTTTTTTCTTTGGATTGCTGACAAAGTATTTTATGAATTGATGAACTTTTCATGGATGCTTTGTCGAGTTAGCTTCTACGCCTGTAAACCTTGAATTTATCATCTATAGAGGGAACGTTAGATTTACTATCTAATATTATCTTTCTTTGTTATTCGAGTTGATTATTTTAAGTTGGTATCTTGAGAACAAAGCAGTTGGCAATTATTGGCTGCATTAGTTGCATCAGACGTCTCTATTATATTCTCAAAAGTATAAGTTTAAAGAACAGTTTCTGCCTTATGTTACTTCATGTTTGTTTAAAATAAGCTTAAAATGTTGAGTATCACTTAAAAACTGGCATAACCACTATGTACCATTAGAATGGAATCAATATCTGCTTCTTCTTTTGAGTTTATAATTTGATTCGCATATGGATGGCTTTTGAAACTGTTTGTTGTGATGATTATTGGATCAAACATTTAACCATCCTTTTATTGAGACAGAGCTTGTTGATGGATGACTTTTATCCCGGAGAGGGATTAGATAGCACTGGAGTTCCAACCAAGCTGGTCACAGTGAACTGTTCTCTGAAGATCAATGTGCATAATCCAGCATCAACATTTGGTATTCATGTCACTTCTAGCCCCATTAATCTCAAGTACTTGGATATTGTGATTGCTACTGGTCAAGTAAGTTTGCCTCGCATGCTTCTTTGCTTTCAGTAACATTGAAATGCCAAATAGAACAACTAATGAAATAGAAGTCCTGTCTTTGCTTAAACAGTTTACTCCGTTTCTTTTCAGTAAAGGAAAACATATGGATTGCAGAAAGATTAAGAAAAATGAAAACATGGAAGTGTCTTTTTTGTCCTTTTCCATTAGTTCTCTTTCTAACTTATCCCTAGTGTTCTTCCTCATAGTCTTCATAACTTATCCCTAGTGTTCGTTTAAGACCGTTAATTATATCCCAATTTATAAGTGAGAGGAACATAGCAAGATTAAGGAAACCAAGATATCTTTTTTGAGGTCGAAATCTCCTCTCTTACGTTTATATAATTTTTTCTTGCTTTGTTTGACTTACTAACAGTTTACTGAATTGCTCAATTCTCGTTAAATTGCTTCCCAGTTCATAATAAATTCATGACGCGCACTTAAAATGATCTAATATTAGTTAATCTCCATTAAAAATATAAAAAATAATCATTAGTTCAGTTAAGAGGAGAAAAACTTAATGTTCAGTTGGGTAAATGGATGAAAATTAAAAGAGGACACCAATCTAGCTAACTGGATGATAGTAATTTCATCATTTTCCACAAGTTCCAGTTATTCAAGTGATTTGAAACATAATGAATAGAATAAATTATGACTTTGATGCAGTTAGAGAAGTACTACCAGCCCCGAAAAAGTCATAGAAGCAGATCATTAATACTAAAAGGAGACAAGGTTCCTCTATATGGAGCTGGTGCCGGCCTGCCTCTATCCAATACCGGAGGTTCAGTTCCATTAACTTTGGAATTTGATTTGATCACCCGAGCAAATGTGGTGGGAAAGCTGGTTAGAGTAAAGCATCGAACGCATGTGTTATGCGAACTTGTAGTTGACTCTAGCAAGAGCAAGGCCATAAAGTTGTCAAAAACTGCTTGTACCTATGGCTAAGGCCATCTCCAGCCGAACGACATTCTCCGGTTTGCAGTAGTCGCAAGCGTCCAACCGAACAGCAAATTGAATGCCATTTTCAGGTTTTGAATAGTGCAACGTCAATATTGACGTCGCACTGCTCACAGTGGAGAGAAAACACAAAATGTGTTTCTGTTTGGTGTTCGGATGGAGACTTGCGGCTACTGCAAACAGACGATAGGTGAATGGTTCAGTTCGGTTCGGGATCCCCTAAGTCGTCATATCAATGCATTTACTACTAGAGAGCTGCTTGTGATCGTTTGTGAGGAGAAAGAAGCTTTATGGTCTCCGCATATCCTTTTATTTTTTGTTCATTTCTGTATATTTGTTGCAATAAGACAATTTGAAAATGAGGCTTACTTCGAATTTCCTGTAATGCAGAACCTATATTTTGTTGGTAAGTGGAAGAAGGCATTTCTCTGTGATAATCTGCTTACACTATGGTGGTGGTTGATGTTCTGAGGTTTTTTGGTGTTTTGTATTTTTTTTTAATATTATTAATTGGTATTTATTGTATGAATAAGTGAACAAATTAATTTGTAGTAAAATAAATTGTTTATTAAAAAACTAATAATATATATTCATCTAAATCTTATTTATTAGTTTATTTATTGCCTGTTTGAGACTCCTTTTTTGTTTCTACTTTTCATTATTGTTTTTAAGAAAATATATTTGATTTATGGTTTTAGTTATTATTTTTTTAATAAATAAAGCAAATAATTTTAAAAAATTATTAAAATAACTTATATGTGTTTTCTCAGGAGGATATCCAATGATATAATATTGGCTAGGAGAACCGCCCGCTCAAGCATTGGATTATTAGGTATAGAGTGTGGATGGGGAGAATCGTTCGCACAATCATTGGTTACCTAGCGGTAACCGCACTCAATACCTTTGGGTACCGTTAGGTATCCAGTGTTTGTGCGGATGGTGCGCACTTCGCACCTAATAATTTTTCATTGGCTAGCTACGAAAACTTGAACCCTAGAAGATTCGAAGGTTAGCCCAAACTCGGAAACCTAATTATTTGCTCTTGTAATTAGCTTTAAATGATTTATAATTTATTTTAATTCCATTTGGACACATTCCAGTTCTTGGTCTACACCCTTAACCAAGAATGATAAAATTATCAAAATGCGCTTATAAGACAATACTTTTTTTTAAACAAAAAACACAATTTTATTCAAAAGATAAAAAGAGAAAAACATCAACAACCAATGTGACAAAACAACAAAATCCAACAAAAACAATCAGAGCAGGATAAGAATTGTAAACAGACTCAATTATGGAGGCCTCCTGCACCAACCCTGCAGTCATGCACGGACCAATCCGTAGGTAAAAGCCCTAAGGGGTTCTTGGGCTTTGGAGGGCTAGCTAAAGCTAATTCCTTAGGAGTTCTCTTAAAAAGAGTCCTAAGGGCAATTCTACACTTAGGTAGGGAAACCTAGGGGTTAAGAGTGCCCTAGGAGAGAGAAGATTGGCCTCATTTGAAAATGAGGTTAAAACATATTTTTTAGTTATTTTTCTCTTCTAAAAGCATATATTTCTTTAAAAGCTCTTATAAAAAAATCTACCTTAAATTTTTTATTTAAAATGTTATGGTTTATTTTGCTAGGGTGAAAAAATAAAACTTTGTAAAGAAAATACAAGAGAAAATCATAGGCTAGATTCGCCTTCTTTTTTCAAGACGGAGAAGAGGTAGCCGGGGAGAATAAGTGTTAGCATGAAGGAGTTGAGGCAATGACTAAGGACATTGGAATTGACGGTAGTAGACAGAAGGTTGTTGGGGCGAGAAATCGGGATAATGAGATAGAGGCACAAGAGCAAATAAAAAAAGAGATGGTGCGATGGTGTGCTCATGCTTGATTAGACTTTGACCTAAGACACGCTCATTGAGGGAAAAGTAGCAGGTAATAAAGATCCGTCGATGAAATTTATGTTAGATGTCATTGTTTGTTAATGGATTTTTATAAATAATTTGTTGAAATTTGTCAGAAATATTTTTCAATTTTCTTGTAATAAATTGATTATTTATAAAAGTACTTAATCTTATTAAATAATTAAATGATCATAAATGATTTGTAATTAGGTCTAGCTACGATTTACTTATCTTTAGTTCAATTTTGACATCTTTTCATGCATAATGTTAGAAAGAACACAGTTACTTAAACTTGAAACTCTAATTGATAAATTGAAATATAATAGAAAAAAAAAAATAGAAAAGAATATATGACTTCATTTTGATTGAGTTAGTAGAAAGGAAATCTTTCTTTCTTTCTTTCTTTTTCAGATTTTGATTTCTAAATGTCAAAGGAAAATTATTTTTAAAATATATTTTTTTTTTAATTGCAGCATTTCAGTTAATATAATTTTTTTTTTTCAAAAAGACATTATATTGATAGGTTTATTCATCAATCACTCATGAAAAGATGACTAATACCAGAATAAATTATTCGCTAAATGAGCACAAATAAAAATTAGCATGATATTATTCAAATAGCTGTATAGCACCTATGCTTTAGTTATTTATTTATTTTTTTAACCCAAAAAAATTTATTCCAAAGCATAAAGAGTACAACCAGCTAGGAAAACAATAAGAAAAAAGTTACAGAGGATGACAGGGTTATCAACTTGTCGGGCTCAGTAGTTAGCAGAGGCTAACAACGCCCCTGAAAGCAAGGCACGGGCCATCGAGTATGGAGTGACAGCAGTAACGAACGAAACAGACACGAGAAACAGACGCACCGCCAAAGGTTGCCACGAGCCTCGGCTTCCGGGAAATGAGCCCTAGCCACATCATTGCCCATAAACAAACAATCGCATCGGTTCTCAAACGAAGCTCCAGCAAAATGGCTACAACCAAATAAAACCATCCAAAGAAAACACAGCCAGAACCCGAAAAAGGAAATCGACCAAAAGCCCAAGTCACCAGCACCAAAACCCCAAATCATTTCCTACCGCACCTACCCCTCCCATGAGAGAAAACATGCACAACAGGCCTGTCTATATGCCCAGCCACATTAACCTCAGGAACTTCCTCCCCGCTATCCTCAGAAGAAGAATCAGATGAATCAGACGAACAATGTATCCAATCCAACTGCATTCTTACTCTCTCACCCGAGTTAGCAACCACCTGAGAAAGGAAAGCCTTAGATGAAATAAACTTGGCAGGAAACTCCACAAAAGAGCCAGGAACCTGGCCAGTAGGCGTCGTAGGGTTAACAATAGAATCAACAGCTTGAACATATGAGGCCAAATTAATAGAGGATGAAACAGTAATAGGACTATCGGTACCAAATGGAGATAAATCCATGGCACGAGTAGGAGAAACAGGAGAGACAGAAGGCACAAAATCACTCGTGACAGACCTACCCGCACAAGAAACAGTAGGTTTCGAATTAAGGCCACATTTCACAGCACCAGGCTCACTAAAACACAACCGAGGAAAATGAGCAGTAGGGACCTCTCCCACCAAACCCTCAACAAAGTCCAACTGGACTAAATTAACCATACTAGCCTCTTCAAGCTCCACACAATTCTCAACTAGAACAGGAGCAACAAAATCAGCAGAAACACAAGGAGGGACACCCATGGCATGCGTAACACCATTATCTACAGGATCATGGGATAAAAGCCACAATAGAAGGCACATGCAATTCAATCCTAGCAGGCGAAGAAACAGCAGCCTGGGCAATAGTGTCCACCCCCTCCAAACCCACCACAGAAATAGTTGGCATAACCCCACGAACAACCACCTCTGCCAAAACAGAAGGATTAATCAAAGCAACAGATTCAAAATTAGGATGAAGAATCACACACCCCACCTTAGAATGACCTAGAGTAAGACAATGTGAACAATAGTATGGAAAATCTTCAAAAATCATAGATTGAACATAACTAGAGCTATCCGGACCGATCCAAATTTTGTCCGGATACTATTTGGACACATCCAATTCAAATAAAATGCGAGCAACAGATGGACGTGAGCCAAAAGATGTCGCATTGTCCGTTTTCAAGGGTTTGCCAAAAAGAAGACCTAAACCAAGAAGAATTCGCGGGGCGAATAGATGAGGCCGGAGGTTAGGGAAGGATATCCAGATGGGGATAATAGTCGATTCAATCTCAACATCAAAGTAGGTGACAATTTAATCAATTTCATATAGCAATTACTCACAAAATATGATCTATGAGCAAAATCCCTACAGTAATCCAAGTCGTTAAGCAACTTAATCAAAACATTTCGTTGGTTCAAAACAGTGACGCAAACCTCTCCATTTATCTTAAGCTTAAAAAAGAAACTCCTAATTACTTCCAGGGATGGCCTACGGCCAGTAAATTTTCCAACAAGGGCGCAAATTTGAACGGAGCAGCCAACGACATGATTTTCGCATCGAAAATCCACAACGCCGGCAAACCCTTATGAGAACAGACCTTAAGTTCAGGAAAAATACTAGAGGAAGGAGAAGAATCTGAAAGCACATCATTAAATGAAAGAGAAGAAGATAAAAAAAAAGGATCACGAAATCATGGATGCTCCATAAAACTAAAAACAATGCAAAGAGAGAAACAACAAGAGGAGGAGAACTTCACTAAGCCACTCGAGGAGAGACACCCAGAATGAAACGCATGGGAGAAGTGACCGAAGTGACCAGAATGAAACGCATGGGAGAGCGGAAATGAATTTCACTCGTGACTTGTTGAGATGAGCAAGTTTTAATTGTTTCTCCTATGCTTTAGTTATTTTTACACATTGTGCTGATTATTTTAATTTTCAATTTTTTTGGTTAGAAGGCCTCTTGATTTGATTCTTGCAAATATTCTTTTTAGAAGAAATTGCATGGAAACTGAATATGGTTATAGAAATTAATTTTTAACCACAAAAGCATTTTGAAAAGTTATGAAAAAAAAAAAACAGTTGTTAAATGAAATTATAATTGATGTCTTAAAAATAAAGTAGTTAGAAACTTGTTCCGAATAGAAGATATTATTATGTGCAGAGTTTGGACTGAAGCTACGTCTGGTTTTTGTGAGTGTGCGCAGCAAAAGTGAGTTAAATGCGTAGTGGTGAACAAAAAATACGTTTTTCCTGCGCACACTAACAAAAACCGAACGGTTTTCCGATCAGAACTTCGCACGTAATAATCTCTCCCCAAGTAGACCCTTAGTAATTAATCCCAAAAGGCTGGATGGATGGAAAGGAGCAATCTATGGCTCCATTAAGTTTAACTGGCTATCTAAGGAGAGATTCAACAAAAATGATTTAAAATATATATAGATGTATATATATATATATATATATATATTTAAAAAAATACAAATTTATTGATAAAATTAGACGGTTACAACAAGAAAAAGCCAAACATAAATAAATAGATAAAATACAATGATAGTGGGCTCAGTATCAGGCCGAGACTCCAGTAGCCCAACG